AGATTCCGCGATCCAACGTTGAAACCACATAACGAATGGAAATTAGGGAGAATCGTCAACCTACACCCAGGATCGGTCGACCATGTACGGGTCGTCGATGTTAAAACGCAGAGCGGACAAGTCACTCGTCCCTTAGCAAAATTGATCATATTACCGCCTATAATGAACAGACCGAGGAAGGAATCTGCGAGACCAGATCCACGTCTCAAGCGATGTAAAAACCAACGATGAACTCCACTCTTGTTTATAGGCTTCGATTTCATATTTTTTTATCCAACTTCTCATCTCACTAGCCTAAGAAGCAGCACAAATATAGAATATATGATTCCGTTACAGAAAGAAATAATGATGCTTTTACTACTCATTGCGTTTAAACGCAGATAGCATAAGAGTTAAAGCTTCACGGCTTTTCACTTCGTTAACACTCGCTGAGTTACCAAAACATCAATATATCCATAATAGAAAAATGAATTAATGGTTATTATATGTATGCATGTCGCTATACCTTTCAAAACGATCCACTAACCAACCAGTCTCAGGTGCTATGGTGCCCCATAAACACCTGTTGCCTCTGTCATTTGTAACCAATTTGAAAATTGTCACCAATTAGTCTTATATTAAATTCTTTCAATAGATCTAAAGTTAATTTAAAGATGGTGTTGCTCCCTTTGCTACTTTATATAGTTCTGGCTGGTATAAATCAATCAAGATAGATCCAGATTGTCGGACTTCACTCAAGCCTATCTGTCCCGCATCGAAAAATACCGCCTAGTCTAGGCCATAAAGGCTCGAATCCATTTATATTTTAGACTATTGCGCACGGCAGATCGATTTGCACTAGGTAAGACAAGTGGTTTCTTATCCTATACTCTTTGAACCCAACAACCCCATTTTTTCGAGTAATTGTATTTCAACATCGGGTAGAAACCTTGTCACATTACCACGGCTGGCCAAGCTTGATTTGAGTAAAAATCAAATTCGTTTCTTGCCAGACGATATTTGCTTATTACAAGACTGGCGAAATCGGGAATCATATGATTGTCAAACCCAAGTTATTTGGATCGTTATAATGACTTAACGATAATTTTAACGATTTTGCTATTCTCTAAGCACAGTATAACGATTTTCGGATCGCAAATTAGACTTAGCGATATTTTTAACGATATTCGCTATTCTCTAAAATGGTATAACGATTTTCGGTTCGCAAAGAAGACTTAACGATATTTTTAACGATATTCGCTATTCTCTAAAATGGTATAACGATTTTCGGATCGCAAAGAAGACTTAACGATATTTTTAACGATATTCGCTATTCTCTAAAATGGTATAACGATTTTCGGATCGCAAAGAAGACTTAACGATATTCGCTATTCTCTAAGAATAGTANTGTAAATTTTTGTACGCAAACCTTGATATCGGTACATAACAATTCGTTCAGACGAACTAAAGTAACGTAAATGTTTATCGTTGTATCAAGTTAAGACGGACTGTGCTTTCCATTGTGGCTCCAATGCTTGTTTCAGCCAAACTAATTGACCAATCCTATTTAAATTTTCAGGAGTTTTTGCTGTTGCTCTAATCTATGTTTATTTATAAAAATTAACACATAAATGTTTATAAATTATACATAATATTGTTGTTAATAAATTTACACTTTCATCACAAATATTTACTTAGCACGTGCACTTATTTAACATACATGATGCAAAATACAACTTTAATCTGTTCACATGCGAATATTAAAAATTGTTGTATTTTTATTTCACTTGGTTAGCAGTAAAATATTATTTTATTTCTGTATACTGATTCGATATTGTTTTTCAATATGAATGTCCAACAATAACAATAAGTGGGTGTTGCAGTACGGAATAAAAATAAAAATACAATACTGTACAGGGTTGTATTTAAGCAATTATAAATTAAAAACTTTTTTATACTTCATGAAAGCAATGACATAAAATACTGTGCAAGGCGAAGCCGGTGTTGGTCCGGCTAAGGGTTACAATCATAAGCGCGGCCGAAGGCCGCCAACTTACAAAGGAGTTTCGCCTAAAAATACTGTGCAGGCCGAAGCAGGTGTTGGTCCGACTAAGGGTTACAATCAAAAGCGCGGCCGAAGGCCGCCAACTTACAAAGGAGTTTTGCCTAAAAATATTGTGCAAGGCGAAGCCGGTGTTGGTCCGGTTAAGGGTCACAATCAAAAGCGCGGCCGAAAGCCGCCAACTTACAAAGGAGTTTTGCCTAAAAATACTGTGCAAGGCGAAGCCGGTGTTGGTTCGGCTAAGTGTTACAATCAAAAGCGCGGCCCAAGGCCGCTAACTTACAAAGGAGTTTCGCCTAAAAATAAACAGGGAAGACCCGTTCTTAAAAATTATAGAAGCGGTCAAATATACATATAAAGTATAAAAAATTTACTATAGTTGTTTTATTTTAGATTTTCTTTTTTATATGTGGCAACACCAAAATTCACAGTAATGACACTTTGTATAAAATAAAATGGTAAAAATTCGATTTTTTTTCTATTTTAAATGTAAATATCTCGAAAACTAAAGGCCTCCGGTAGGTTTGGTTTTCGGTTTCTGAGAGATTCGTTTTTCCCAAAGCCTGGAACCATAATGGAAAAGTTTCCCTTAAGACGGCACAAATACAAACATTTTCGTATTTATAAAAATTGTCTTTTCTACTCAATAATTAGAGCATTTAACTTCATTATGTTTCTTTCTTCGATTGAACTGTCAGTGGTGTGTGTCTAGCTCACATCACTAGAAAGTTCAATATTCAATAATAATAATATGTCAATTTCTGATTCTTTCAAGTAATGCAAGCATAACCTAACTCCGGCTTATTACAATCTGTTCTCAAAGGAATATCGCATCACATTAGTGTACTAGTTGACAACTAAAACATAACACTAAGAAATTACGTTAAATGTTCTCGATAACGAGCATTCGATTCAAGGCTTTGAGAGATTGTAATGATTACTGTCTTTTCTTTCACTCTCGATAACATTGCTTAATACTGCCGATTAAATTATCTCGACAAGGCCCAATGAAGAAGAGTGATATTCTCATATTGTAGGGCGGCAGGCTTGGGTGAGCCCACATAAAAAAAATGTATGTGTATATTTACATATGTATGAAATTTCTCCTCTGNCATAAAAAATATATGTGTATATTTACATATGTATGAAATTTCTCCTCTGTACAATAAAATCCAATTGGCCACCCAACCAAATAGAGAGATTTATTTGGCCTCCAGGCTAAATCACTTTTTATAATCAGAGGGGGGCAATTCAATTGGAAGCCACCTCATCGCATAAATACACCTTCGAGTAACTCTCGACCCTTCTATGCAGAATTGAGTCATGCCTCAACTCTAGACCACTCAGTCCCGCTTTAAACCACCCATCCGATCTGGAACCACTAACTCCAGGTCACTTTTAGTCGGTGGACACCTTCTGGCTCTTCCTGAAATAGACGGCAGCGAACATCGAGCCTCAAACGTCAGTCGGTGGCAACGGCTAAAGGCTCTACACCATGCATTTTGTAAAAAATGGAAAACCGAAAATTTATTTGGAGATTCCCGCGATCCAACATTGAAACTGGTAATCTTGTCGTGATCAAAGAAGACAACCACCACTTAACGAATGGAAATTAGCAGAGTCGTCAACCTACACCCAGGATCGGACGACCATGTATGGGCCGTCGATGTTATAACGCAGAGGGGACAAGTCACTCGTCCCTTAGTAAAATTGATCATATTACCGCCTATAATGAACAGACCGAGGAAGGAATCTACGAGACCAGATCAACGATGAACTCCACTCCTGTTTATATGCTTCGATTTCATATTTTTTTATCCATCTTCTCATCTCACTAGCCTAAGTAGCAGCACAAATATAGAATATATGATTCCGTCACAGAAAGGAATAATGACGTTTTTACTACTCATTGCGTTTAAACGCAGATAGCATAAGAGTTAAAACTTCACGGCTTTTCACTTCGTTAACACTCGCTGAGTTACCAAAACATCAATATGTCCATATAAAATAGAAAAATGAATTAATGGTTATTATATGTATACNATACAAGCTTATGTTGAGAGTACAACTGAATGCATGTGTCTCAAAATTCATTAATTTATACTAAATACACAATTTATATTAACCACGGAACACTATTCACATCAGCTAAAGATAGGTGAGAATCCTTCTGTTTTTATTAAATACGCTTGTACCAGGACATTGAATGTTGACAACAGTGAGGTCTTTAGCCAGGTAAAATTCAGGGTCGTTCCGATAAAAACAACAGTCTGCTGCGGAGCTATTGGAGTTTTAGTCACCTCTAACTCGCAGTCGTTACTTGAATATTTATAAAATAATTCCCCCTATGTATTCAAATGTCGTTGTGTGAATGGAATGTCCAACCAGCACTGCTGATTGACGTTTATTAGTTGATTCGATTTTGTTTCCTCCGTATTGTTGCATTCACCTAAAGAAGCATCATTTGTGAAAAATGAAAACATTTAGTGGCTTTAAAGCAATACTTTACCGTGATTGTGGAATGGCCATCGCATTGGCGGAAGCTAAAGTTAAGAAACTCCTCTCTTTTCCTTTGGTTTTCAACTAATCTAATCACCTCCTAAATTTGAAGCTGTCGTTCTTCAAAAATTTTTAGTTAATGAAATATGCCAGCGTTTAACAAACATTCCGCAGCGCCTGGAATGAAGAAAATAAAATGGCTTCACTCTCGAAGATTCTAAAGTGATCTACTTTCGTACCTCGTGAAAAATCCAATTCAATATTTAAGATGGAAGCAGTCAAAATATATCTACAAATGTCAGTAAACAATGTTGTCTACAAACCTGAAAATTTTTGTCCGCAAACCTTGATATCGGTACATAACAATTCGTTCAGACGAACTAAAGTAACGTAAACGTTTATCGTTGTATCAAGTTAAGACGGGCTGTGCTTTCCATAATGGTTCCAATGCTTGTTTCAGCCAAACTAATTTACTAATCCTATTTAAATTTTCAGGAGTTGTTGCTGTTGATCTAATCTATGTTTATTTATTAAAATTAACGCATAAATGTTTATAAATTATACATAATATGTTGTTAATAAATTTACACTTTCATCACAAATATTTACTTAGCACGTGCACTTATTTAACATACATGATGCAAAATACAACTTTAATCTGTTCACATGCTTTGTTGTAATTTTATTTCACTTGGTTAGCAGTAAAATATTATTTTATTTCTGTATACTGATTCGATATTGTTTTTTAATATGAATGTCCAACAATAACAATAAGTGGGTGTTGCCGTACGGAATAAAAATAAAAATACAATACTGTACAGGGTTGTATTTAAGCAATTATAAATTAAAAACTTTTTTATACTTCATGAAAGCAATGACATAAAATATTATGCAAGGCGAAGCCGGTGTTGGTCCGGCTGAGGGTTACAATCAAAAGCGCGGCCCAAGGCCGCTAACTTACAAAGGAGTTTCGCCTAAAAATAAACAGGGAAGCCCCGTTCTTAAAAATTATAGAAGCGGTCAAATATACATATAAAGTATAAAAATTTTACTATAGTTGTTNAATTGAAGGAAAACCGATAAACGAAATTTCCCCTCCTTTCCCGTTAATGTAAAACTAAGCTAAGTACTTTGTTATAAATAATAAGCTTACAGTATTTTTAAGTTCAATCGCTTGCTTATCTCATTACAGTACGTCTGTACATATGTGCGTGTAAAAAATAAATAAATAAAATAAAAAAATAGTGTACGGGATATAAAAAATTAATCTTTTATTTTATTCAACATCGAAAGTTGAATACAGTGATTATAACTAGTAAACTGTATTGTAATTGAATTGGGAATTACTGAGTAAATAAAGGACATTAGACAAATTCTTTATAACGAAAGAAACTGCAAATTAAGTTAGCGATTTTTATTTAACAACCCAGAGATCGTACCCGAAGGATTCAGAAAATCATCGAAATTGATTTAGCAAAATCGTAACAATATGTTAATTTCTGATGCTTTTAAGTAAGGCAAGCAAACCTGCACACCAGCATTTTACAATCTGTTCTCAAAGGAATATCGCTAGTGTACTAGTTGACAACTAAGACATAACACTAAGAAGTTACGTTAAATGTTCTCGAGAACGAGCATTCGATTCAAGGCTTTGAGAGATTGCAATGATTACTGGCTTTTCTTTCACTCTCGATAACATTACTTAAAACTGCCGGTTAAATTTTCTTGACAAGGCCTAATGAAGAAGAGTGACATTCTCATATTATCGGGCGGCAGACTTGGGTGAATTTGCCATAATTATGGTTTCACCCAGTCTCAATTTAAAGTAGCCCACATAAAAAAATATATATGTGTATATTTACATATATATGAAATTTCTCCTCTGTACAATAAAATCCAACTCGCCACCCAACTAATTAGAGATATTTTTTGGGAGCAATACCAAATTTACACATTTCCCGACCGTTATGACTCGTTTTGGTGTAATGCTAAAGAGGGCTGAGCAACAAGCTCTTGGGGAAAGTATTGTGCCAATTGTCTATCGGTAGCACATCGGGCGAAATCATGCACGAGCACAAGAAGATGCAGGCGATGCCAGGACACGCTACACCTTCAGACCGACGATCCAATTGACACCAGGCCATGGAGTGTGAGGAGCCCGAAGAGCTCGACGGGGACATCATTACTAATGATGCGTCGGAGTTTGAAGAAGGAGACGTGACTTCCGGATTGGAGTCGAGGCCTTTTCGTCCGGGTGTGCAACGGAGATCGAAATCCCGGACTTTCCGGTCCCTACATGAAAGACGCCGACAAAGAGGAGCGGAATCACGGTATTTCCGCCTACTACCCCCAGCAACACGACTACGTGGAGCGGAGCCAAGAACTTTCCGCCCATATCAAACATCAGCACAACGCCGTGGAGCGGAATCTAGGTATTTCTGCGCACATCCTACACAAGATACCGAGAGAAGCCTGCAACGATTCCGGCAGTTACCCAGAACATTCCGGAATCAAAACCATAGTATTACGCCCGTTTCCCTGCAGCCCGTCACTGCTATAGCATCGAAAGCAAGGTAAAATTAGAAGCCGGAGGAGGACTACATCTGGTGCGGGCAATAATCGATGTCTGCGCACCTACATCCATCCTCGACTGGAAGCTAGCCGAAGAGCTCCATCTGCAAATTGCCCGCTACCCGCATGAAAGGGGCTGCATGCTGCGCTTATGCGGAAAGCACGGTATTAACACCAGCCTAACAACACATGCAGCAGTCATTCGAGGGTATGCCAAAGTAAGTCCCACGTCCAATGTAGAACCGGCTCTCGCAGCAGCGTATACACATATGCGACTGGCAAATCCACTTTTTTATCAATCCACGACAATAAGATTAGTGCTTGGAGTCGATGTACACTTAAGTATAATACAGACGGGTACCTTCCCAACACTTTTGGCCCGTTAGTTGCCCGAGCACAGGCTCGTGCCGATTGTAATGGCACGATTTATAGCCTTTTCATAAATTTTATATATACATTCTGGTACACACATCCAAATAATAAATATGAATTTTATAAAGTGCAATCGTCTTTTCTTTTCTTTTAATTTATTTTTTTTTTCTTAGCAATCGCATTCATTTCCTTCTTTTTAACACCTAATTAGATTCCAACCAAAAAAGGAACCCGATCTTGTGGACGTTGGGCTAGCCACCAACAAACATATAAAAATTAACTACATACATGTACAGATTTTAACAAACTTGTAAAATATAGGTATGGCAGTGGAATCACCTCGTCAAAGGATGTTGCTTATAGCAAGGGGGCCGGTATGTTTAGGCCTCCAGGCTAAATCAGTTTTTATAATCAAAGGGGAATACCATCCTAACATAAATTCACTCTATGTACAAATGAAGAATATCACGCACACAGATGCACGCACACAGATACACGCACACAGATACACGCTCTCATACAACAAAAGGTGAAAGCCGAGCTTTAACTGTAGCGGTCTGTTTTTGCATTTCTCCTCAAAACAGGGCGAAAGAACTGCTTTGAGGGTTTGAAGTATTTTCCTTTTGTCATTTGCATTTGCTGTTACTTGCTGTTACATATTTCGAAGACATAGATGTTCCGCTGCCATACCCCGTCATCAAAAAGGTAATATTGTATCATATTGTTATATTATAGCACTTATTAATATTATATAGATTACACGAATAAACTATTTTCGATATCTTTCAATATCCGCAACTAATTCTCTTTTATTCAACTTATTTATAATTTTCGAGCGAAACCACTGGGGCATTGTTTAAATATATGCGCCACGGGTTTTCATTATTTTTTATTTCATTTTCGTAATGTCAAGTATATAATATATTGTATAATTAACGCTTAGCAACCGCTGAAGCGATTTTCGACCGAACTCCTCCTCCAATTTGTGATTTCGCGTCTTGATGTTTTTCCAAATGATGGAGGGACCTACAATTTATACTAAGGCGCCTCCGAACGCAATTAGAAAATTTAGCTGAATTTTTAATTTAAATTTTTTTCTCTAACTTTCGGATGTTGAATGCACGGGAATTTGAACCAAAATTATGGAAAAAAATTGAGATTTTTTTTCAAAAAGCCATTTGATCAAAAAAAGTCAAATCCGTTTGTTTTCTTCATTTCAGATGATTCACTGCAGAAATACAACGATCACCGTAAAACGTCTTGTGCCTGGTGTCTGTAGCGATTTCAAAAGCTGTTATTTTTTACAAAAAAAACGGCGCCATAGTATGTGTAATAATATAAAAAAAACAAAGCCAAAAAATTTCGTCGTGGATAATTTTTGGAAAACCCAATTTGTTAGGGCTCCCAACTAGAAGTAAACCCTTAAGTAAATCGAGCTATAAATATGAACTCTGCCTATAGATCGGTTCCACGTGTTCGTCCCGGAAGAAAAAGTTATGGCTGGTTTTATCTAAGTAGAAAGCTAACTTTACACCAAACAATTAAATTCAATATGTGTGTAAGTAGAAAGCTGCCTTTACACCAAACAATTAAATTCAATAGCATTTGCTATTTTTCACGAGGTGTTAACAATGGTGGGGATGGGGCCAGGTTTAGAAGTTTGGGCAAGTGAGGAAAGTTTTTGGCTCTAGCAACTCACGACTTTCGACCAAGTATCCCCTGCGAACCTCATGCGGTTGTGCGTACGGTTTGGAACCCCCTGCATAAAAGAAGAATGCAATGAAAAGTTAAATTAAACCTCGGATGGTAGAGCCCTCTACCCGCCAATGTTTTAGGCAGTCTGTAGCACTAGATTCCAGCGCAAAGAAATTCACCAAGCTACTTTGGCTGTCTCCAGATCGAAAGTATCTCAACCAGATCGGTCGTATTATGATAGACGGAAGGCATGTCTCGAGTGTTCTTGACCAGCATACTTTCCGAAAACCTAACATTCACTCGAATTACAATCTTGTTGCAGCGAAGGTACCTGTTCGCCTCTGTGTATCAAAGAACGTTCGTCAACAAACACATATAGAGGAACTATGGGACGGCATTAAAATCTCCTTACGTGCAGCTGAAAACGAAGCTATTGGATTTCAAAAAGATAGCAAAACAACTGTTACGATGACGACTGCCGTGTCGTAGTAGAGAAAAGCCAGACTGCCTACCTCGCAACCTCGATCGAACCACTTGCCGGGCAGGATAGATACCGAGAGCTGAAGAGGAAAGAACGACGCACCTGTAGACAAATAAAAGAGAGACCGCGATGCGTGAGTACGAGGAACTTGAGAAGCTGGCCTATAAGGGTATTGCTGGACCCAAAGGAATGAGCTCGTGACGGATCCCCAAAGTATATTGAATTTATGGAGAGAACACTTATCCAGCCTGCTGTATGGCAGTGGAAATAAAACACCCGGAGAAGGTGAACCCGAAACTGCAATTGATGACGATGAAGTCCGAATGGCAATCGCCCACTTAAAAACAACAAAGCGTCGGAAACCGATGGATTACCAG